GAGGACGCCTAGCCCGCCGGCAGTTCCAGACCTGGCTCTCTGCATTTTCAAGCCAAAGTCCCTTTTGCCCCATTGGATAGCCGAAGGAAGGAGGGGAGCCCATTTTAGGTCATTTAAGTCATGGGTCCCCCCAACGTGGCGACCACCAGTCCCTTTTCCTAGTACCCACCAAGTGTTTTTAGAAAGTGGGCGGAGTCAGGTGGGGCTGTCGCCCAGCAAGGATCCTTAGGGGAGATTTTTGCATGTGTTTGTGTGCCTGTGCCCGGAAGTCATGGCAACCAGTGTTCCCTCTAAGCTGAGTTAGTGTGAGCTAGCTCACAGTTTTTTAGCCTCCATCTCACACGTTTTTGTCTTAGCTCAGGAAGGATGGCTCCAGAGCAAACTAATTTATGCAAGAGCCAAAACGCTTGCTCATAACTTTAATGCTAGTAGCTCACCAAGTAGAATTTTTGCTCATAAGAACCAACAGCTTAGAGGGAACATTGATGGCAAACTCTGGTGACTCCTACTGGGGCATGGAAAACATTCAGAGAAGTGGCTCAATAGCCTGCCCCCGCCTCCTGCCTGCTGGTATTCCAAGGAGGCCTCCCATCCAAATACTTGCCAGGGTCAGCCCTGCGTAGCTTCCGAGATCTGATGAGATCGGGCGTGCCACGACAAACTCCTGTGAGTTCTCCTTACCTGCACCCGTTGCCTTCCCCGAACCTTCTGGTCCGTGAGAGCTTACAGGGGCCAAGCAGCTGGTACAGCTTTTTCTGAAGGGTCTTGGCTTCCTCACTGGTTTTATCCACGCCCAGACTGGGAGAGAGACGGGTCCAAGTTTGTGAGCCTTAGCAGGGCCGCTTCATCTCAGGTGCGTTTAGAAAGGCCTGGGTCTAAACCGTCACCCCAAAAGATCCAGCAGACGGGGTTGGGCCATCCAGCCAGTGTGGTGTACTGGATCAATTGCTGGAGTAGGACCCCTAGGCAACCCTGGTTTGAATCCTCTCTTCCGCCACGTAAGCTCGCTGGGTGAACTTTTGGGCCCATCACAACTTCTTGGCCTGGCCTACCTCAGAGGGTTGTTGTTAGAAAAGCAGAGAAGGGGTGCTTTGAGTCCCAACTGTAGGGAGAAAGGCAGGATGAGAATCAGTGCAGGTGCATTGGTTTCAGAGCTGTGGTCATTGCGGTACCTTGGGTTGTGGGTATCTCTGCCACAAACCCTCTCTGACTTTTTCAACCCTTTCTTTGTTCCCCCCCCCCCAGATAATTGTGATCTGCATTTCAAAGTTGGCCGGGACCGATACAGCGGCTACCCTCTGACTATAGAAGGGTTTGCTTATCTCTGGTCAGGAGCAAGAGCCACGTACGGGGTATGGCGAGGGAGGATCTGTTTCGAGATGAAGGTAAGGGAACGTGCTCCTCGACTCGAGGGCTGTGGCGGGCGGCAGTCTGAGGCGGGTTGTTTCCAGACAGCCAGGATGTTGGCAGTGAAGACAGGGGGGGGGCTCCTCAGTTTGGGGGCTCCTCCTCGCTTCAGTTTTGTGCATGTTAGGTAAAGTAAAGGTAAAGGTTCCCTTGCTTGAAAGCCAGTCAAACCCGACTCTAGGGTTGCGGTGCTTATCTCCGTTTCCAAGCCGAAGAGCCAGCACTGTCCGAAGACGTTTCCGTGGTCATGTGGCCGGCATGAATAAACACCAAGGCGCACGGAACGCTGTAACCTTCCCACTGAAGTGGTACCTATTTATCTACTTGCAATTTCTTGCTTTCGAACTGCTAGGTTGGGAGGAGCTGGAACTAGAGACAGGAGCTCACTCCGTCTTGCGGCACCCGGGTCTCGAACTGCTGAACTTCTGACCTTCCACAGCCTGCAGTTCAGCGTCTTAAGCACTTGAGCCACCGCAGCTCCTTTTGGGCATGTTAATCTCACACAAATATTTATACAATTTTTTGTTTGTTTGTTTGCACTGTGGTGTTGGAGGAGAGTTTTACAGATACCACGGACCGCCAGAAAGACCAATCAGTGGGTTCTCGATCGAATCGAGCCTGGACTCTTCTCTAGACGCTAAAATGATTAAACAGGCTAAGCAGGATTCGCTGGAAAGGACAGTCACGCTAGGAGAAGTTGAAGGCAGCGGGAAAAGAGGAAGACCCAACAGGGGGTGGATCGGCTCCATCAAGACAGATCAAGATGGGTAGCCATGGGTAGTCTGTCTTCAGCAGCGGAAAAGAGCGAGAGTCCAGGAGTGCCTTGAAGACTAACAAAACTTGTGGCAGGGGAGGAGCTTTTGTGAGTCACTGCCAATGTTCCCTCTAAGCTGTGGAGTCTTGTGAGCAAAAATTCTACTCTGCGAGCTACTGGCATTAAAGTCGTGAGCGAGCAATTTGGCTACTGCATAAATGAGTTTGCTCTGGAGCCCTCCTTCCTGAGCGAAGGCAAAAATGTGTGAGCCGGAGGCTAAAAAACTGTGAGCCTAGCTCACACTAACTCAGCTTAGAGGGAACACTGGTCACCGCTCACTTCTTTAGGGACCTTATCTGAAGAAGTGAGCAGTGGCTCACGCAAGCTCATACTCTGCAAACAAATTCTGTTAGTCTTTAAGGTGCTACCAGAGTTTGACTTCACCAAGGAAGCCTGACAGGCCTCAGTTTGCAAGACCCGGGCAAGGCCGTTAACGATAGGGTGGTTTGGAAGTCATTAATTCTTAGGGCGGCCATCGGTCACTAATGACTTTACAGCACTTAATGTACAGAGACTCTTTGTTTTGCCATTCTGTTAGCTGGAATTGCTTCAGTGCCAAGTTGAGTAGTACAGTGTTGACACTACTTGGTTGGTGTTCAGACCTCACTGTACACGCTCACAGACCTCTTACTGAAACAACTTCCCGTCTGGGGCTTTCCTGAAAGGTCTGTTAGTCTGCATCACCCGTCTTCCTAGAACTTGGAACATTGCCTTAAATGCCACCTTTGCCAGTTGCTAAAGGTGCTCTGAGACATCTTTTGCCTTCTTGAACCTCTTAAAAAATCCCTTCTTGTCATTGGAAATGACTTTGATTTCACAGCCGCTCTCAATGTCTGCCCTTTTCACCCCCAGATAAACGAGGAGATCGCCGTCAAGCACCTTCCTTCCACTGAACCCGATCCTCACGTCGTGCGGATCGGTTGGTCCCTGGATTCCTGCAGCACTCAGTTAGGTAAGACGCAGGATGGGGGGCAAGGCGGAGGCTGTGCGCCTGTTTTTATTCTTGGGTACCACTTCCCTTATATGTATTGGGGCTCCATCATTAAGCTAAAGAGAGCCAGTTTGGTGTAGTGGTTAAGTGTGCGGACTCTAATCTGGGAGAACCGGGTTTGATTCCCCACTCCTTCACTTGCACCTGCTGATGTGACCTTGAGTCAGTCACAAGCTCTGGCACAGCTGTTCCTGAAAGAGCAGTTTGTGTCAGAGCTCTCTCAGCCCCACCGACCTCACAGGGCATCTGTTGTGGGGAGGGGAAGGGAAAGGAGATTGTATCTGAAGGACCATCCTCTCCTTTATGTTCCTTTATGTTATGGAGAGCCAGTTTGGTGTAGAGAGCCACTTTGGTGTAGTGGTTAAGTGTGCGGACTCTAATCTGGGAGAACCGGGTTTGATTCCCCACTCCTTCACTTGCACCTGCTGATGTGACCTTGAGTCAGTCACAAGCTCTGGCACAGCTGTTCCTGAAAGAGCAGTTTGTGTCAGAGCTCTCTCAGCCCCACCGACCTCACAGGGTGTCTGTTGTGGGGAGGGGAAGGGAAAGGAGTTTGTAAGCCGCTCTGAGACACCTTTGGGTCGTGAAGGGCGGGGTATAAACCCAATCTCCTCTTCTTCTACCTGGGAAGTAAAATCACAGAGAGAGACCCTCCTGGCTGTCCTGTCAGTCAAAGAAGCTCACTCGGTGGGTACGTGAGAGAGGGCCTTTTCAGTGACAGCCCCACAATTGTGGAACACATTCCCTAGGAAAGACCTCCACACTTTCAGTCTTTAGGAGGCAGGGACACATTTCCTAGGGAGGCGTGCCTGGCCTCCACACTTTCAGTCTTTAGGAGGCAGCTGAAGACAGTTTTATTTAGGACCTCTTCTGATTAATTTATTAGCAGCCCTAAACTGGGGTGTTGGGGTTTTTTCTTTTGGTTTTTTTGTTTTATGCGTTTTATCTATGTTGTAAGCCGCCTTGAGCTCCATATGGAAGAAGAGGAGATTGGATTTATACCCCGCCCTTCACTACCCAAAGGTGTCTCAGAGCGGCTTACAAACTCCTTTCCCTTCCCCTCCTCACAACAGACACCCTGTGAGGGAGGTGGAGCTGAGAGAGCTCTTTCGAGGACTGCCATTGAGAGGACAGCTCTGAGAGAACTTGTGACTGACCCAAGGTCACACCAGCAGCTGCATGTGGAGGAGTGGGGATTCAAATCCGGTTCTCCCAGATTAGAGTCCGTGCTCCTAACCACTGCACCAAACTGTGCAGAGGCTAACGCTTTAAATAATTTCCCATTAAAATACACACACACACACGCACACGGACTCTGAATAGTGGCAGCCATTTCTGTCATCTACACAATGCCACATCAGAGTCTCCGACACCTTTTTTTTGTCCACTTAGGTGAGGAGCTGTACTCCTACGGCTACGGAGGCACCGGGAAGAAATCCACCAACTCCAAGTTTGAAAACTACGGCGAAACCTTCACTGAGAACGATGTCATTACCTGCCTCGTGGTAAGCCTACTGGGGCTGATTTTGGAAGCTACAGTTTGTTCTCTCCTGCTGAGCGTTGGGATTCTCAGATGTGTGGAATTCTAAAAGGCTGCCTGTTAGGAGGTGGGATTCTCAGATGTGTGGAATTCGAAAAGGCTGCCTGTTAGGAGGTGGGATTCTCAGATGTGTGGAATTCTGAAAGGCTGCCTGTTAGGAGGTGGGATTCTCAGATGTGTGGAATTCTGAAAGGCTGCCTGTTAGGAGGTGGGATTCTCAGATGTGTGGAATTCTGAAAGGCTGCCTGCTGATTCTCAAATGTGAGGAATTCTGAAGACTGCCTGTTAGGAAGTCTAGAGGCCGGTGTGGTTGGCGTGATGGTGGGTTCTTTAATATCTCTGCGACGGAGGCAATAGAACGAAGACTGAGTCCAGTGGCCCCTTTAAGACCAACGAAGTTTAATTCTGGGCATAAGCTTTTGTGTGCATGGAGACTTCTTCAGCTACAGACGCCAATTCCCGCAGCCGCTGTCATTCTGTTGTCTGACCTTCCTTACCTCCAGCTGCTGACTTCTCCCCTGCCTTTAGGACTTTGAGTGTGGCGACGACGTCGAAATATCCTTCATGAAGAACGGGAAGTGGCTGGGGATGGCATACCGGGTGCGGAAAGAGGCCCTGGGCGGCAACGCCCTCTTTCCGCACGTCTTGGTGAAGAACTGCTCCATCGAGTTCAACTTTGGCCAGAGGGAGGATCCCTTCTTCCCCGTCCCGCCGGGCTTCACCTTCATCCAGCATCTTCCCCTCTCGGAGCGAGTCCGGGGGACAATCGGACCAAAGAGCAAAGGAGAATGTGAAGTAGGTGCCCGGGGGAGGGGAGGGGAGGCCGGGGCTCTCCTGGGGCCTTTTGCGCCATCTGTTCCGGTAGCTGAATACCGCCTCCTGTCTTAGAATCACAGAGTTGGAAGGGACCTGCAGGGTCATCTAGGCCCTGACCTGGATAACTCAGGCAAGCCCAGTCTCGTCAGATCTTGGAAGTGAAGTAGGGTCCACTCTGGAAAGTACTTGGATGAAAGAGCCAGTTTGAGTGTCGTGGTTAAGTGCGCGGACTCTAATCTGGGAGAACCGGGTTTGATTCCCCACTCCTCCACTTGCACCTGGCTGGATGACCTTGGGCAAGCCATAGTTCTGATAAGAGCTGTTCTTGAAAAAAGAGCCGTTTCTGTCAAGAGCTCTCTCAGCCCCACCGACCTCACAGGGTGTCTGTTGTGGGGAGGGGAAGGGAAAGGAGTTTGTAAGCCGCTCTGAGACACCTTTGGGTAGTGAAGGGCGGGGTATAAATCCAATCTCCTCTTCTTCTTCTACCTCACAGGGTGTCCGTTGTGGGGAGGGAAAGGGAAAGGAGTTTGTAAGCCGCTCTGAGACACCTTTGGGTAGTGAAGGGCGGGGTATAAATCCAATCTC